TCGGCAGCAAGGTCATTGCAGGGGGCGGGCAGGGAGCCTCTTGGCTGCACCGTTCTGCTCCAGCTCTTCCCCCGAGGGCTGCACCGGTGCCCGGTCACGGGCAGGACGGGCGCAGTGCCGGGCACAGCTCCGGGGTTTGCTGCTGGTGGGATGCAGCCTCTGTGAGATGCTCCCACGCCCTCTGAACGCAGGCGATGCAGCCCTGCTCCGACCTGCCGACGGCTCGGAGCTGCGGCCCCCCCCTTGCATGCAACAAAGATGGTTTTATTCCTGTGATCTTGGCGTGATTTGGGCCGAGCAAGGGAGGCTCTCCAGGCTGTTCTACCTTGGTTGAAAACCCTCTTAGCTCCACTCTGCAACCTCTTTATGAGAAGCAGCTCCTTTTCGGCATGGCTCCTGGCTGCAGCCCCCATCATCTCCCTGCTGCTGTGGGAAGGACCGAGCTGAAGTCCCCCATGCCTGTCTCAGACCATCGGGGAGGCAGGGCTGCCTCGGCCAAGCAGGAAAATCACAGCCAGCGCAGGATTTTCCGAGCGGCAAAGGAGAGGGCTGTAATTAGCAGCCCCAGCGTGGAGAAGCAGCAGCCGTAGGGCACCGTTTTCAGGTCCCCTCTCTGTCCCAGCTCACATTCCCTGCCGGGGAACCCCATGGGGCTGGGAAACTGCTGCAGCTTGACTGGGGCTGGAGGGGGAGGTCTGGGGTTGGGGTACCACTGCAGCCCAGCTGGTCTCCCGGGGACGGATCGCAGTTGTGGCCGGGATGGATGGTGATGTGCGTGGGGCAGGAGCTGCCTTGGGCTGACATCGGCCGGGACGTGTGTGTGGGTCCTCACTGTCATCCTGGGGTTGCACCTGCCCTCCCAAGGGTGTGTGGTGGGAAGGCGCCGTGTGTATGGGGAGAAGGGAAACCTGGTGGGACGGGGCTGGGGGACCGTGTTGCGGGGACCAGAGGGATGATGCTCTCCAGCGTGCCGCGGCGAGTGAAGCGCCATGGGCTTGCAGGTCCAAGAGCATCACTCTTGGCTGAACCCTCCGAGAAGCTGTGCCGTGGCCGTGCCACCTCCCCATGCCCCCAGCCCCGGCAGGAGGATTTCCCATGATTGCCCTCACAGCCTCGGGCCTGCCGGTAAGCACCGAACCCCTTGGCTCGGGCTGCGTCCTTTAAATAATGCAGGAAGGCAAGTGCCGTCCACGGGGGCTGCAGATAACCGTGGTACATGGCTGGGAAACAGAGAGCGTCT